CAAGGTTACGAATATGCAACACACAATATGTAAGTCCTACGGGTGACTGATATATAACATAGAAGTCTTACATGTGGCATGTTCCTCATTTAATTATTTTATAATGATTCAACATATAGGATCATGAGTTGTACCGATCATATAATTATTTATGTACCTAAATGAGAGGCAAATGCCACGCGGGTGCAGTTTCGGATAGCCACATAATCATTATAAAGTGTATATGCACATGTATCAACACGGGCGAACCTCATTTACGAATGGATGCAGACGTTTAATCGTGTAGTGTAACATGTTGTGAGCCTAGGTGCCGTTTATGTAGGATCTATGTCTAATCTTTGTGCTTAGCAGATTATACCAAATATTCATAGTTACGAAATAACAAGCCTAACATGTATGATAGTTAACTATTTATGTTATATGCAAAACCTGCAAGTTGGCATGCCTATGTGTGTTCAATTGTAATTATGCTAAATATGCGATTTCCTTAAGTCTATAGGTATAGAGTGTGAAGGTATGTGGATTTATTTCAAGTCTTTAAATAATAACTAGTCCTATAGAATCATAAAACACACATATGTATTATTCCACATGTTATTCTAGTGCATGATTAACAATTAAATTCACGTACTTAGTATCGTGGCATAACCAAACTTTTTGTCATATAAATTCAGGAAGGTCATAAATCATATAACAATTATTCAAATAGCGGAAATTAGGCTCTGAGGAAAAGATTATAAGTAATTAGGAGGAAGGTTCTTGCCTTTTATGGGGTAAATAAATTCTGGGGAGACAATAGAATTAGGATCTTTATTTTGTATACCATGGATTACGGTGGATGATCACATAACAAGTATTGGCACTTATATGCAGATTGTTTGTAACTAATAATATTGCATATATGTATAGTGGGATGTCTTATAACATACAGTTTTTGTCTAACATGCTTTGTATATATACATGAATGCGGGTAAGTGTGTATTTTAACGTAAGCACGTGAGCTATGTGTTTTGACATGTAGTGCACATGAAAAATATAAATTCCGACCTATAGTTTGGACCATGCAATTTGCATGCAAATATTTTAGTAATTACGAGTAAGATAGCTTAGGTTCACAAGTACTAGAGGTTCTATCTTGAGAATTTAATCACACAAGCACTTAGGAAAATTAGTTTTTATCTTAGTGGTAATTAGGTTTTAGGTAGGCATAAATCTTACCTCTAGAAGCCCGGGATACCTAAACAACTTTAGAGTTTGAAGACCCTTGGTTGCTAATTCCTAAGTCAATTGATGACCTGATGATGAGGTTAAAGTTTTTAATTATTTAGGGAAGGTAGGAGTGGTAATAGGGAGGTCATGCGAGGGGGAAAAGTAGAATTAGGGTTATCCCAGGATATGTGTATATATATGTATATATATAATAGTGATGTAATTTATACGGGATGATATTTCAGGGTTAGGATATGCTAAGGGCAGGCTTATAGGGGTGTGTAAGATTATTGTAGCTAGGGTACATGTGTATGGTTTGGGGGCTAGGGATTTATTGTATATAATGTAACAATTTATATGAATACGTATGAATAGGGGAGAATGTTCTATAGGCTCACAAGTTTATACACACACATATATATAGATTTAAGCGTATAGGGACGTACCGTACATGACGTAACCATTTTTAAGATTAGGCAAGGTGACTTAGGATTAGGGTGTAATAAAAATGAAAATAATAATAATGATGATGATAATAATAATAATAATAATAATAATAATAATAATAATAATAATAATAATAATAATAATAATAATAATAATAATAATAATAATAATAATAATTTGGTGTAAGTGTAGCATATGAATATACTTGGGATTTACTATATATTTTAGATGTATATATATGATAGGAGTTTTAGGGGGATATATTTAGAATAGTAGTGATGTACCTATTTATGTATAAATGTTTGTTTAGAGGGGGTCCTTATCTTAGTGGTAAAGGGTCCTAAACAGGGTATGGGGAGCTTGTGGTCTATTATGCAACATGGACCAAGGTCTAGAGGGATAGTTTTAAGATAGTTTGAGGATGCAATATATTTTTCCCAAGGATAATTTCTAGATGACCACTTGTTTTAGGTTTCTACTGGTCTTACTCAGATTGTATTTCGGGTCGAAACTTAATACGCAATGTATCTGAGGGTTTAGATTCCTAGAAATGGAATTAGTCCCTAGAATTTCTATGTAACATAGAAACAAGTCAATTAGGAAGATAATTCGATTTTCATGTTCAAGCATTAGATTGTTATTTATATGTTAAACACATAAGAAGTACCAAGGAAGACACACAAATGCACAATGGATCAATAAAATGAGAAGTCAAGAAAACGTACCGTACCAGTGGGCGCGAGGTGGGCGGTCGACCGCCTGTCAAGTCCCCACTGGAACGTGGCAGTGGGCACGTGGTGGGTGGTCGACCTCCTGCCAAGGCCCCACTGGAACGTGACTGTGAAGAAGGAATCACTTCGGGAAAGTCCCGAGAATGCACAGATTTAAGTCCAAACAATTTCACGCTCATATGAACAATAAAAGGGATTTAAATGCACGGAAAATCTTAGGAAATTATATTATAATGATACTAACAAGGGACACGGGAGACATTCAATGAGATATCATAAGGATCACACACCCCATTCTCACCCTTCTTAACTAAAGCTATGCCCCCACAATTTTCCTCCATGCAAACTTATGCAAGTATTTATCAAGCTTTTAGTAGGTTAATTATTAAAGTAATTGGTCAATTATGATTAGGGAAAGTGAGCTATTATATGTCGAATAAAATTACTAATTACAAGTTCCAAAATACTTTATTAAATAAAAGATATCCTAATAACACATGTATGATCAAATAGTTAAGCAATAATATGCAGTTCCTAACTTGGTCTAAAATCAATTAGGAACATATGCTTAAGCAAATAAACAAGTATGATAATCAGAGAGTGATAAGCAACAAAGCAGGTAAAAGCATGCAAGGACATCACAAATTTCTAGGGCAAGTATGTGGAATGAAGAGTTAGTGTGTTGTACCCTTACCTTGATGTGATAAGCGAAGGGGGAAATTCTTTAAATTAATGAGGGATAAAGTGAGGGGAGGTTATGTAATGATAGGTAGGCTCACAATCTCACCGCACATCCTAAGATTCCTTAATCATATGTTCCTAAATACCTAGAGTTCAAGCCTAATGTCCTAAAGTCTAATCTTAAGAGTCTTATCCTAGGGTCAAACTTAGGCTCTGATACTAACTGTAACACCCCGAAATTTTGAATCTTTTAAAACTTATATAATAAAGGTGAATTCTCATTAAATCCCAAAATAGAGTATTATTAAACGTAAGGGTGCGGGGTGCTATGCCACATCTGAGCTGGAGAACTCAGATGCACAGGCTAAACTAACTAATTATCCTCGATACATCATTGAGGCACGCAGGCCAAAAAGGAAAGCTATCTATCTACTCCAAGCTCTTCTAGCGCGCTCTGGGGACTAATCAGCTGTGCCTGAAAGCCAAATATATCTATTCAGCGAATGATGCCGATAACCCACTCCAACGCGTTGAAATACATTATAGATAGATATATATAGATATACAAAAATCATTTTGAAGCAGGAAGATATATACTTAAGAGACACTAGTTTTAAAAACCAGGAATAGACTCAGCAAATAGGGATAAACACATCAAACAATAATAAACAGTTAAGTAGAGATAACATCATAGGGAATACGCATCTAAGGTCGCAGAACACTTTTCAATTCCAAAAAAATCATCATTCAATCATCATTCATATCACATAATCGTTGATGGCGCCACGGGACCAATCACATGCCCCGAACATGAGGGTTAATGCTTATAGCATTAACACGGCCCCGCAGCACCCTACCTCAGTACCGTGGTATGAGGGGAGTTGATCGCAACCAACCCTTTGAGAACTGCTGACGAACTCAACGTCGGACCACGATCCTACACACCGCTGACGCACCCAGCCGATGGACCGCGATCCCCTTTTCAAGGGGGGACTTACGACCCTACACACCGCCGATGGGTACGCCGGTGGACCATAGCGGATCAAGCCCGACACACCGCGGAGCTATACTCAGTCGATGGGCGAAGATCCTTGGAGACTATGGCCCTACACACCGTCGTCCCACCACTCGGTGGGTCGCAGCCAGCCGTAGACCTACACACCGCCCCGATTACTCGGATCAGTGGACTACAGCCTTCCTCGGCTTATTGGCCCTACATACCGTCCTGGCGCGTTCAGGTCCGGTGGGTCATAGCACCGAGGCCCATGTGGACCGCAGCCCAAGAAGTGAATCACTGACCGCAGCCAGGAGAATGAACCGCAGCTCATAAGTAGCCAAACAGTGGACTGCAGCCCAATATAACATTTATATACCTGACCGATCGCAACCGGCCTGGTTAACCGTTGGTATGGTTCTCAACCCATCCAACTGCCCGTATAGCCAGTTTGATCGCAACCAAATTGGGGAATCATGCATCACATAACACATTATAACACATAATAGCACATTGTAGGGGTGGGCACGGGTCGGGTTCGGGTTCGACCCGCCTATATTTAGATCACCCGAACAATTTCGGGTTGAACAATTTCAAGTCCGAAAACCGAACCGATATAAAGAAGTCATGCATCGGGTTCGGGTGCTTCGGGTCGGTCTTCGTTCGGGTTCGGGCTAATATACCCGAAATTCTAGTTGTTCCAAAAATCTGAATAAATATTGATTTGTTGTGTCATTTATAGTTATTCATTGTTTGAAGTTAATAAATATTGAGTAACATATTACTGATTTCTATGAAATTATTTATACTTTGTAAAAATTAATTGAGTGATGATAATTCAACCGTTAAAATGTTTATTTATGTTGCGTTCTTTTCCACTCAGTTCCACTCAAGTTGATTATATCTATGCGTTTAAGTGTCCAACTGTATTAAACCACACATTAATTAGCTTTTGGGGGCAACAAAATCAAAAGCATTAATTAGCTTTGGGGGTAACAAAAATCAAAAGCAGCTTTGGTTTGGTTTTTCAGGCTTTTAATTGTCTATTGCAGGCTTGCAGCTTTTGATACCACCAATGCACCACCACTGATTTGCAAATTTCCATCCATAACAATGCAACCTGCAAATTTAAAAAATATGAATGAGAAAAAATAAATTGAATTTTAATTTAATATGCACTTAAATATGCTCTATTGTTGATAAAAGTATAAAATAAAAATATAACATTTTGAAGCACAATAACATATACAAAGGTTAATCGGTAAAGCTAATTTATCTCAAACAACAATAATAGACTAACATACTAATCATGGGAGAACACGACAAATAATAGAATAACATACTAATATTCTAATATTTCCCAACTGAAATCTCCATCAGCCAATTTTAATTTCTTTTACAACTTACAAATTGTTAATTCAATTAAACTTACAGAACTTGAAGAAATAAACACAAAATGTTGATGAACTCCGTGAATTTTACTCACTGGCCTAAATTGTTAAATTAATTTTTATGAAAAAAATATTACAATTTTTATAACATTCCTAAATCTTTTATAATAAGTCACAAATTTTCCAAATGATGTTGAAACTAAAATTTTCTGGAAAAAAACCAAATGCATTTGGGTTTTGAGTTTTGACTAACTGAATCAGAAGTTTAGAACAACACAATACAAAAATCAGGAAAAAAATACAACTTCACAATGAACAAATGTAATATTTTATGGGAGAGAATACTGTATAGTGTATACTAACTTGTTTTTTGGAAGAAAAATGAAAAAACCAAAACTAATACAAATTTTAAAAATTTAAAGAAGACCAAAAACAATGACTAATAAAATCTATAAATAAAGCAATGACTAATAAAACCAAGAACATGAAAAACACTGTAATACAGTTTTTGTTGAAAAAAAAATGTACAACGACCAACAATTTCTGGAAAGAATTATTAAAAATGTCTTTGGAAAATTAATACAAAGGGAAAACAAATTAAAAAAAACTGTTGAACTTTAAATTTTTATGTAAAAAAAAACTAATAAAGTAGTAAAGTACCTGTTAGATTTTCATGGTCAGAGATGATCACCGGAGAGGTCCAGAAACTCGAAACTTCGAAGGAGATCTCCCTGGATCTACTTGTACGCTAACCAGATCGAAGAATATCTAGGGTTTTCGGCCTGTGAGGTGAGAGAATAAGTTGAGACAATAAATCAAAACTTAGAAAGTGAGAAAGTGAGACGACACGAGGTACTCACCGGAGTCACCGGGAGGCGGAGAGCCGTAGATGGAGATAGAGTCATCGTCCCACGGAGAAGCGGCTTGGCGGAGAGCTAGAGACGGAGGCATGTAGAGGTTGAGAGGGCTAGAGCTTAGAGAGGTGAAGAAGGTGAGAAACAGAGAGAAAGTGAGAGGGGTGAGCGCAAGGAATGAGAGTGGTGAAGAAGGTGAGAGACGGAGAAAGTGAGAGGGGTGAGCGGCGCAGGGGATCTGAGACTATGAAAAATGAACTCTAAACCCTAAACTATAGTTTAAATACCTAGGTAATTTCGGGTTTCGGGTCGGATTCGAATTTTAATCCTCAAACCCGAAATCCGAACCGTTGTAATGCTATTGTGGCTTGTTTATTACGGGTTCAGCCCGATCAACTTCGAATCCGACCCGAATCGGGTCATAACGGGTCGAACCCGCGTTTTTTCGGGTTTAACCCGATTTGTGCCCACCCCTAGCACATTGGGAAGGGGGAGACATAAATAAGCTTACGTGTGATCATTCACATACTAAGAATAGTCCTAAGGGGTTCATACCACTTCCACCTAGGTCAACGGGTTACCAATTCAACTAACATGCAATTCCTAAGATTCACTTATCCTACGAACGGTACCCGAAACATCAAACTAGACTCAGGCACAACAAACGGGGCCCGTTGGGACGCCACGGGGAATGGGAGACATCAAACGGGGAAGCCGGGGACCCGGGAGGGGTCACAAACCAGCGGGTAGTCGGTGGGTGAGGGATCACCCGCCGGCTGCCCGCCGGAGATCACTGCCCGGCAGCGGGTTGCCGGCGGGCGGACGCCTGCCCGGTGCCTGCCCGCTGCCCGGCGGTGATCTTCGGGCAGCGGGTAGGTGGTGGGTACCCCTACCCCCACCTACCCCCACTGACTCATTCATCAATATTTCGTCCCGGGATCCTTTGTGGAACCCGAAACCATGCTTAGACACTTTTAAACACAATTAACGACACCACGTAGTCAATTAACGGATTAAAAGCCAGAATCACATATAACTCATCCTATCACGACTTCTAAATATAAACAACACCCGAACATATGAATTCCCGCCCCAAATATAAATCAAGAACATTACAACACAAATTCCCAATTCATCCTAGGTCTCTAATCCCTCCCAAATCCTCAAAATCACAATTTGTCTTTAATATCAAGAAATATCCAGATTTGTCAAGAATCATTACATCAACATCAAGAACCTCTTTTCATCATCAAGATTATCAAGAATACACACAAATCATCTTATCAATCATCTAGAATATGTCACAATTACCATAGAGGAATTAATCAAGACACACGCATATAGAAGGAGGCCAATGAAGGGGATTATAGCGAAGAAAATAGGTTTTGTTGAGACATGGGTTACCTCTTAGCCTTAATTAATCATCCCTTGGCTATTAAGGTTCTTCCCTAAGATTTCCAATCGTTTTGATCTCCCTAGGCTTGGTGGTGGGGAGTCCCTTTGGGAATTCCTGTGTAGTGATAATTATTGTGGTGTGGCTTCTAGGTGTCTCCTATGTCCTTATATATATATATTTAGTAGTCCTAATTAGGGTCTGAATGGTATGAGTTTACTAATTCTATTCCTTATAGGATTAAGGGCTTCTTTTAGGGATAAGGGTCCATGGTCCATGGTGGACCATATTAATTAATTAAAGAGAATCCTAATCATAATCTGAATAGTAAAGGTACACTTTCTTTATTTCTAATAGGCTTATGACTCTAGTTTAGGCAAGGGACCACGATCCGCGGTGGACCACATTAATTAATTAAAGAGATTTATAATCAAATTAAATCCTTTTTAATTATTATTAATGGAATTAATTAAATAATTAATTCGGGATTAACGGCCGTAACACGGGGTGTTACAGAAAAGGCAACCCAAGGCAGCACATCGCCCACTTCATTGAAACCTGTAATGATGCAGGAACATACGGAGATATCTTCGTCAAGCAATTCGTCCGCTCTCTGAAGGGCACTGCCTTTGATTGGTACACCGACCTGGAGCATGGTTGCATTGACAGCTGGAATGATATGGAGCGCGAGTTCTTGACCTGCTTCTATAGCACAAGAAGGACTGTTAGCTTCTTGGAACTCACCACCACTCGCCAATGGAAGGGTGAACGTGCGGGCACCTTCATCGAGAGATGGAGGGAGTTGTGTCTCAACTGTAAAGAGAGGATATCCCAAAGCTCCGCAATTGAAATGTGTATCCAAGGCATGCACTTTGAGCTCTCTTACATCTTGCAGGGAATCAAGCCCAGGACATTTGAAGAACTATCCAGTCGTGCTCATGACATGGAATTGAGTATTGAAGCCAATAGGGGACTAAGCATGTCAAGTATGCTCAGCTCATCAAAGGCACCTACAAACCAAGATGTCAACAAATGGAGTAAGTTTTTTCCAAAGCAAGAGAAGAAAGAGACGATGAACGTGATGACAGGACCAATGCGGGTTTTCACCAAAGTGGATGAGAAGCCCAAGCCGAGATCATTCCCCGGGCCATCAAGGGGAGCTAGAAAAACAATTGTTGAAGAGTAGCAGGAGAAAAAATATCCATTCTTGGATTCTGACGTTTCTCCTATGTTTGACGAGTTGATGAAACTCAAATTAATTGAATTGCCTGAGATGAAGCGCCCCGAAGAAGCTTCTAGGGTGGATGACCTCAACTATTGCAAATATCACCGTCTCATCGGCCACCCAATTGAAAAGTGCTTCGTTTTTAAAGATAGAGTCATGGAGCTTGCTCGAAATGGGAAGATAGAGCTTGCGGATGCTAGTGCAAGCACAAACCTAGTTTCAGGTGGAAGGTTTGCTCCATTACTTATGGAAGATGAAGAGAAGAATGGGGGCAAGCAACATAAATGCACACTTCCATTTAGAGTAAAGCATGCTGACATGCAGTACTTAAAACCATCACAAGTTGATCCTGTTAGTCATATTAGACCATTAAAGAAAATGACAAAGCAATGGGTTGAGAAGAAGTCGGTAAGGGCAGTGCCGTTTTTTTTTTTTTTTTTTTTTTTTTTTTTTTGGTGGCCCCGTTCTAATAAATAAATGAGGCCCTACGGCTCCTATCAAAAGTATAAGCGAAATATTTAAAACCAATACCATAAATTATATGATTTTTATTTATATATTATTTTTCAATATAAAGAAGAAAAATTCAAACAACTTTGTTGATTATAAATAAAATTCTAACATAATGGAAACTAGAGATCTTTTATTTAAAAATAGATGTCCTTCTAGCATTTTTTGATGCAAATTCATCGATCAACTCTTCATAATCTACTTTATCCAAAAAATCATTTTTGATAGATATCATTGCTAATCCATTGAGTCGTTCTTGTGACATTGTAGACCGTAAGTAGGACTTTAACAATTTCAACTTGGAAAAACTTCTTTCTGCAGATGCAACAGTAACATGAATAGTTAATAAAATTTTGTATGCAATAACCGCATTAGGATAACAATCAAACAATTTTAAATCTTTCAAAATTTCAATGGGTCCTATTTTTTCATGTCCATACAACTCTCTTCTTAGTTTTAACTCCACATACAACTCATCTCTATTAATATCTGAATGTCCATTATGCTTAAGAGCATTTTCAAGACGACTACAGGAAGACTTCAAATTCATATCATCTAAAGAATTTAACCTGTCAGAATTAAACAAGAAACCAAATATTTTCTCATATTCTTGAAATTGCTCAAACCTACTTTTAAGAGAAACAACGACCTGATCAACAATGAAAAGACAATAGTTAACTCTAAATGAATCTTCTGCAGGTAATGAAACTTCTAATGATGCATTTGAATTTTCATCAAATTGTTTTTCTCTACGGATTTCACGTCTCTTAGGAAAAAAGGGATCTATATCCATTTTAATGGCAATTTCCTTAGCAGAATCCAAGGCATCATTAAAACCACTTTCTCTATATTCCTCAAAAAAAGAAATCAACTCCTCAATTTTTTCAAAAGCAACATCAATAAGCATGTCTTTGGATTGCAAGTACTTGCTAAAAAAATTAATACGATACAATATAGGGAACCATATTACTATAGCCACCAAAAATTCAAAATCACTAAGTTCATTTGTTGCTAAAGATTTAGCTTCACTTCTTACTAAGGAATCACCATCAACATTTGCAACCTGGAGTAAAGCCTCTCGTATTTCTACCATTTGAAATCTTATTGCTTGAACACTCTCAACACGACTCTCCCAACGAGTGGAAAACAATGACTTAAGAGTTAAACCATGTACATTATCTTTCAAAATACCCCATCTCTTGGTAGATTTTGCAAAAATTGTATATATGCGTTGTATAACTCCAAAAAAATCTTTGGCTTTACTACAAGCATTTGCCATATCACATAAAACTAAATTAAGACTATGACAACCACATGGAGTATAAAAAGCTTTAGGATTTTCATTTAAAAGTTTTTTTTGCACACCTTGATGTTTACCTTTCATATTTGACCCATTATCATAACCTTGTCCACGTATATAAAAAATATTAAGATCAAGAAGGTGCAATTCATCTTGCAAAGTACTAAAAATACCTAGTCCATTTGAATCATTCACATTCAAAAAATCCTAAAAAGGACTCATCAATGTTAACTTGATGTGTAGAGACATCCACATATCTTATTATTAATGACATTTGTTCATTATGGCTAATGTCTGGAGTACAATCAAGTATTACAGAAAAGTATTTTGCTTGCTTTATTTTTTTTGATATTTCAGATTTAATCGAGGAAGCAAGCAAAGATATTAGTTCATTTTGAATCATATGACCAAGATAATGAAAATAAATCTCTTCATTTTTAATACTCCTAACATGTTCTTGGTTAATAGGGTCAAATTCGGCCACCATCTCAACTAAGCCTAAAAAGTTTCCATTGCCATTTTCATACAATTTCTCATTAGTACCACGAAAGGCTAAATTACGTGTGCCAAGAAACTTAACCAAAGAAATAATCCTTAACAAAACTCTTTTCCAATGATCTTTCTCCTTCTTAATTAATTTTTGAGCGACTTTGTCAATTGTTTGATTTTTCTTAAACCTTTGACGTAAATCATACCAAGTCATCATATTTTTAATATGTTCCATACAAGTCTCATGTTCTCGAAGTCTTTCACCAATATGAGCCCAATTATTGAAACCTTCATTTGTTAATTGACCTCTACCAATACCATTTTTAAAGATTTTGCAACAAAAACAAAAAACTCTATCAAGCTCTTTGGAGTAAACTAACTATTCTCTATCACATCTTTCTCCATTTGATAAGACCCTAGCATACAAATTTGCATTAAATCGCCTAGAAAACTTATCTTTAGGACCTTTTACAATAGAATTATCTCTCTTAGGACCTTTGATTACTAATAAATCAATCATTTTCGAATCAAGTCCATCCCAATTTGTTGGATCAAAAATATCAATTTCATATAAAACACCATCATCATTGTTGGGTGAATTATCCACATTATTTTCATTCTCAACATCAACACCAACATTTGGATTTTCAGAAGATACTTGTGTCGTTGTAATTACAAACTTATCTAATTCCCCTCTTAGTAATCGTTGTAACTCTTAAATTTTTTTTTTGTTTCTTACGTTTTTCATAACTAGATTCATATTTTCTAATGTCGGGAGCCATAATATGAAAATATGCAATTCATAGATTCAGCAATTGAAATCAAAGTTTTCAAACAACAATATTCTAACAAAGAGGCAAGGAACAAATATTAAAACATATAAAATTAAAATTTTAAAGTGAAAAAGGATTGAAGCAACCTGATCAAAAAATCCTTATTTTTTTTTTGTTTATGTTCTTCGTCTGCTACTGCCTACGGACCTAACGGACGTCGACCAGCACTCCAGTGGCCGGTGCGGTCTCCACTTTCACAGTCTCCCGCGGGCGACAGTCTACAATCTACCGGCCTGTAAAAACGCAGAATAAATTTGATTAAAAAAATGCAGATTAAAAAAATAGCGACAGTTGGACAGAGTAAACAGAATAATTGCTACTTACTTGACTAATGCCTACTTTGCTACAGAGAAACGCAGAACTGCAGAAGAAACGCAGAACTGGATGATTATGTTCGTGCCTTCATGGAGTCACTGGAGTGTCCGAGCGGCGAGTGTGGAGTTGATTAGTTGAATTGCAGACTTGCGATTAGCGACTAAGAGACAGAGACAGATGAATTGCGGTCCTTGCGGACATCGACTAAGAGATAGAGATGACTTGCGGAGTTGCGGACGCAGCGGACAGCGGCTGAGAGTGAGAGGTAGATATGAATTGCGGACAGCGACTGAGAGACAGATGAATTGCGGACGTAGAAGAAACATCGGGAAATTGGGTTACTGGGTATTGGAAATTTTTGTTTACGAAGAGTCGAAGAAGTATTGAGAACGCCAAAGATGAATTGAAATCTAACTCTTCTGATTCCTCTCAATCCTTTTACGTTTAATTGGAATTTTTTTTAATTTATGAGGTATATTAGGCATATTAGGCCTCTAAAATTTGGGGGCCCTGTGCGGTTGCCCAGCTTGCACAGCCTCAAATCCGGCCCTGGGTAAGGGACCCCGTCAATGACTCAAAGAAGAAAGGACTTCGCAACAAGCTATGGGCACCAGTTACCCCAGCTCAATACATGCCAAAGGGGTTTCGCCTGAGTAGAAGGGACATTCTTGGAACTTGCTTGAATACCAATGAAGAACATGTTGAAGTGGGAGAATCTTCATTCCCCTTGATTGAAGGAAGCAACGAGGTCTACACTCGCAAAGCCGTGTCTTACATTACAGAGATAATTTTCAAAGATGAAAATCTATTGCTCTGCGATACACCACATAATCGTCCATTTCTTATAGAAGGCAATACCCGCGAGCAAAGAATCAAAAGGATTTTGATTGATCAAGGATCGGCTGTGAACATTTTGTCACTCCGAGCTATGAAAGAACTTGACATCTCTACCGACGAGCTATCTCAAAGCCGCCTGATGATTCAAGGTTTTAATCAAGGTGGTCAAAGGGCACTAGGTACCATCAGACTCAATCTTAGGGTCGGAACGTTGAACTCAAATACACTATGTTATGTGATAGATGCAAGGACGTCTTACAATTTGTTGCTAGGCCGACCTTGGATACATGAGAACGGTGTAGTCCCCTCATCATGGCACCAGTGCCTCATGTTTGAAAAAGGCGGTGTGATAGAAAAGGTGGTCGCTGATGAAAGTCCATTCACCGAAGCAGAGTCGTACTTTGCAGACGCAACATTTTACTTGAAGAAACAAGTTATTGTTGAAGAGATTGACAAAATCAATGTTGACACACCTCCCAATCCAAAGTGGAAAGGCAAACAAGTCGTAGACCAAGTGATGGACAATTTTAATGTCCTCGCAAGTGCACGAGTCAGTGTAGCAATAGGGTGCAAAAGCAAGGGTCGATCCCACAGGAAATTGATATAATGCAATTTAATTACGTAAAAGAGTGAAAAGATATCGAGAATTCAAAATAAAGATCCAATTGCCGTAAATTAAACCGAATGAAAACACTAAAGAAAATATAATATTCAGAAGCCAAAGGAAGCAGAATTGACAATCAAAATGGATTACTATATGAAATTGCACGGCAGGAAACACAATTAAATAACTACAGAATAAAATAGCAGGCAATATTGCTACGAACATGAATCAATTAGCATTATGTTCTTAGAAGAAGGTATTTTAGAAAATCATGCTAAGGAATTCAAAAACAAGCAGTACTCCTACTGTCCTACAACCATTTCCATATTAAGAGAGTAATTAATAAAGTATTACTAATCAAGATTAATTTGCCTTAAAAGTATGATTAGTCCAAATTGAAAACAATAATAACAGCAAAAGGAAATGAACTAACAGCTTTAATATGAGAACTTACTTAGTAAAACATAAATAAATTAGTTTCCACACAATATTCTTAAATGCCAAGGATAAATACCACGCAACAAACAAAGTAGCAATATTAAAAACTTAAAAGGAAGAAAGAGAGTTGCCATATGATTTTGATGCTGCACCACAAACTTCCGTCGTGGCTGGAAACAATGAACCACTGCCTAAAAGAATTCGAAGTCACCGCACAGTCCGTCCGTCGAATGCCTGGAATTAAGCTGCTCACTACCTCCGGAATTAGTCCGGAGTGAAATTGATGCTGCCTTCTTTGATTTTGCCGTCATTTATACTGCTTGAACTCCAATAATTTTTCCATGTTCTGCGCTCCTCCTAAGCTTTGCATCGTTTGCGATAGCCGAAGAAGACTCTACGTCGTTCACGATCTTCTTTCTCGTTCATTGGTTGTTGACTAACTTTGTTAAATGAGTTTCGACCAAAGTCTAAAGATGATTATTTTCTTTAATTAAATAAAACACATCTAAAAGCATAAGTAAATTAGAACCCAATAAAATCCTACCATTATTAAAACTCTATACTGACCAAGTATAACTATACTACTACTATTATTAGTTTTATTATAAGAATTATTAAAAAAATATAATGTAAATAAAAGTGCAATAATTTAATAAAATAAGATAAAAATATAACTAATTAATAAGAATTATTAAATCAAACATTATGAAATAAAATATAAAAATTGCACTTATCACCAAGCTCATTGCAATAAGGAACTTGTTTTCCCACTTACAAGAATTGAACCATTGAAAGCTCCCCCAGCCAAACCGCTTGGAGAAGAAACCAAAGATAACGATGCTCGGGATGGAATAGATGAAATGTTGCCCGCTAAGCGCACTAATGGCTTCGACCCAATTGCTTATAAACTTCTAGCTAAAGTTGGCTACAATCCCAAGGAGCCGCAGAAGTTGGGGAAGCTTATCCCAGAAGCCGGCGGTAAAGGCAATTCAAATCAGCAGGGACCGCATGAACGTAAAGGATTAGGCTATGTGCTCCCTAAACCAGTGTGAATCTTCATAAACAGAGCCGCAAGTAATTGCATCACGTCTACCGATAAGGAGGAACACCACAAGAGGCAATCAGTGTTTGATAGGATCGGCGAGGTAAAACCACGACGGTCAGCCTTTTATAGGCTTGGGTCAAATCCCAAACCTGCTAAGAGGAAGTCCATACATGACAGACTCGGAGCTGCTCGAGTTTTAAAAGAACACACCAATATTTCTATTGAAATAGAGTCTTGAAAAGGGCTTAGAAGTATAGTTCCCTCTCGTATGAGACGAGAAGTTGATGTCCATGTTTCATGCAGCGAAGTCTTGAAGGTCCAGCCAAAGACCATTATATACACCCGTGTGCAAGAAGGAAAAGAAGAAGACCTCTATTCAAGTTATGGAGCGACACCAACACAAGATGAGGTGGCGTCTTCATTCCACATTAATTGACATGATGGGATCCCGGTTGCGGGGGGCATGTACAACTTGGTTGATGAAAATGATGCGCAAGTTGGCCCTATTAAGTAAACGAGACTACTTAATGATATCCACCAAAAATGCAGTACGTGGTTAAACTGCTAATGCATCTCGCTTTATCCATGGGTGGGCCTAAATCATAGACGTTCTTGGCCTGCATGAGTCTAAACTGTGAACGGCTTTACTTTAATATATATATATATATATATATATATATATATATATATATATATATATATATATATATATATATATATTTGAACTACGTTTGACTTGATCTCCTTCGTGGGAGTACGTAAGCAGCTTAGAAATTTTATTGTCTAAGTTCAGTCATAACAAATTTTTTATATTTTCGTCCAAGATAGTGATTAATTCAAGCACACATTAATTATTGGCATGGGGAGGAGGAGAACAAGTCTAGGAAGCATTGCAAGTCTTGGAATGGAAAATAATTGTCAAACCAAGCATTCCTGCAACAATTGGTCATTGTTTGGTATTTTGGTCATATCTCGGTCTATAATAGTCAAATTGTGGTGATCTGGATATCGTTGGAAAGCTAACTTACAGAGCTACGACTTTCACGAAGAAACCTAAGCTTGAATATGACTATTGAAGGGTCAGAATTCGAGGGAAAGTGAAGGCGCGAATCTGTCCAAAATTTTCTGTGTTCATATCTCATTTAAATCTTCCAAGGAGAAGTATGGGTAGTGGTAGGATATATCCCGACCGACATAGCTCGGTTTCTCTTGTTTTTGTGCAAGTTTTACAGGTCGGGTATTCTTAAAGGAAGACGGTCGGACCCGACCGATAGATTTCCCGACCGGGGTCTTTGTCACCCGCTTAGTGGCCTTTATCTTACAAAGAGGCACGTGGCAATGCTACATGTTGACAGAGAGGGCTCGCGGGGTTGAAACGCGTGGATGCTACGTGGGTCACATGCCGGCCGGCCGGAGCTGTGTCTCCGGCCTAGCGACTATAAATACCCACGACGGCTACAGTGTGGATGACTTTTGAACGATCGATAGATTATCTACAGAGCTGCCCGATCGCAGTCAGTCGGCCCTCGGGATAATCACTTAGATTGTATTAGGTCCTTCATTGATCAATAAAGACTTCTAATTGTTATTATTTGATCTTATTTAAGTACCTTGACCACTTAACACGTTGAATTAGTACTATCATTTTGGCGCCGTCCGTGGGGACCCGAGACGAGAAAGCTATTGTAGACGCGTCCGGATCCCGATCAACATCATGTATCCGTTCATGTACCAAGCACAAGAGGATGAGCAAGCGGACGCTGCGAGTTCATCAGACCACCAGCGTACACAATATCAAGGTCAAACAGTTGACCTGAACCTTAACTTATCACCACCTCACTCGGCAGCCCAGAACCCGGTCAATTACATTTAACCGCTATATCCGCCGCCCGGTCCATAGTATCCGTTTCCCGGTCAATATCCATACCCGATCCCTCCTCCTCAGTATGGGTGTTGGCCCGGAACGCCGATGTATTATCCACCACCGGCCGGATATCCACAATATATGCCTGCATACACGGCTCCAGCTTTCGCACCTCCGATTTACCCGACCATGCCGACTGAGCCGGAGCTTCAGCCCGCTCCCCGGGCTAGGCGCTCGGCTCATTCGAGGTTGGGGTTGCAGGGTGACAAGGCCATGGAGGAACCACGGCAGGCTCAACATGTTCAGCCGGAAACACACGCTCAGGTGGTTGAAGACCCTGAGATAGAAGCCAATCGGGCGATGGCATTCGAGCGACTCCGACCAGCAATGCGGCAAAGATTGGGACCGCAGGACCCAAACAGACGCTCGGTTGATTCGCCCATGCGAGCGGCAAGCCAGGAGGGGTCATCCGGGCATAGTGGGTCTAAATCACATCGACGGCGCCGGGCCTGGGAACCAGCCCAAACGGCCATACAAGACGAGACCCGAGGACTGTTGAACAAACTCCGAGCAGAATTCACTCGTTGGAAAAACGAGCATGCTGTGAGGCCTCCCACCGATCATTCAGCCTCTCTGTTGAGGACACCCTTCACGGCGGAGATTATGACTCAGCCTTACCCCCTTGATTTGCGCTTCCCTGGAAACAGGGAATATGATGGGCGGACAGACCCAGAAGTCCATGTCAACACCTACTATGGCAATATGATGATGATGGGCGTGACTGACGCTGTGATGTGCAGAGCCTTCTACTCAACGCTCTCTGGTCGAGCGGCCGAGTGGTTCAGAACCTTGCAACCGGGATCTATTTCTGCTTTCGCCAGTTTGGCGGCTAAGTTCATGCGGAAGTTTGTCACTTCCAAAGTCATCCGAAAGCCCTACATGTATCTCAAGAAGGCCAAGCAATTGGAGGGAGAAAGCTTGACTGAATTTCTAGTTAAGTGGAAGGCGGCGGTCGGGGAGGTCAAGAGGTCGCAAGAAGTCGGGACATCATCCCGGAAGCCTTCCGGTCGGGTGAAGATCATCCCCGATCCCGAACCCGGCTGGGAGAGTTTACGACGTTAAACCAATATGCGGCGGAGGCCATGCAATATGCTCAGTCCTGCAACCTTATCCGTCTACCTCAGCCGGGACCAGATGGGCCGGATAAGACGAAACATTGTGCTTACCATCGATGTGCAGGACATGACACGGAGGAATGCACGCATTTAAAGCAGCTGTTGGAAGATTTGCTTCACTTGGGAAAGTTAGACAAGTGTGTCGGGAAGAGAGAAGAGAACAAAAGAGTGGGCGAGAGAAAAGATCAAAGGCGATCTCATCATCGCTCTGATAGGAGAGATCAAGATCGGCTAGATTTCGATCCCCCATCTAGTGGCCGACCGAAATCTAAACCGACCATCCACGTCATATTCGGAGGTTTGGAAGATGCTTCCCGACCTCGGGAAAGTTGCCCGGTCGCGATCGTCGACTCCCGAGAAACCGGTAAGAGGCAAAAGATGGAACCCATCACCTTCACTCTAGAAGACCAGCCGGAAAGCGGTGATCATGTGATGGAAGCCCTAGTTGTCACGATTGACATCATGGGAACCGATGTTCAGAGAGTAATGGTGGACACCTGGAGCAGTGTGAACGTCCTTTATTTGGACATGTTCAAGAAGCTGAAATTGGACAAGCAGGAGTTGATTCCGGTCGGTGTTCCATTGTCAGAATTTACCGGGGCCACCATCCGGCCCGAGGGAAAGATCGTGCGCCCGGTTGAGATCGGCACCCCACCAAAGTCAGTGAAAACAGAATTGGAGTTCATTGTGGTCAACCTCCATTGTGTCCACAACGTCATCTTGGGCCGACCGGCCATTATGAGGGTCGGCGGGATTATATCGATGCCTCACTTGTGCATGAAATTCCCCACCCCTGCTGGGGTCGGAGTTGTGCAAGGCGATGTCCAGTCGGCGAGAAAATGTTATTCCCGGGCAGTCAATCGGCGTGATGTCGGTTCTTCCTGAGTGAACACCATCATCAAGGAAGCCATCGGAGATCGTAAAGAGCAACCCGAGCCCTCTGAGGAAATAAAAGAGGTTCTTTTGTCTGAAGAACAACCAGAGAGAAAGATAAAGATCAGTCGGGCCCTCACCCCGAGTTACGGTTGGAAGTGTTAGCGATCCTCCCGGAATTCGCTGATATATTTGCATGGGGACCTGAAGACATGCCCGGGATCGATTGGACCGTAATTTGCCACAAGTTAGCTGTAGATCCCGTGGCGAAACCAGTCGTTCAGAAGACTCGGCATCTATCATCCGATCGCCGAGAGTTTGTCCGAGGTGAGGTGAAAAAGATGGCGGCCATTGGGCATATCCGCCCGGTTACTTACCCCGAATGGGTGGCCAATATTGTGCTCATGCCAAAGCCTCCATCCTGGAGAATGTGCATAGATTTCACCGACCTGAACAAGGCATGCCCGTTAAGTCCATACCCGTTGTCGAGCATCCATCAGATGATCGACGAGATGGCCGGGGCCGAGCTGATGAGCTTCATGGACGCATTCAAAGGGTATCATCAAATCATGATGAACCATGAAGACGAGAGTAAGACGACATTTGTCACACCCAATCGATTATATTGTTACCGGGTCATGCCGTTCGACCTCCAAAATGTAGGAGCGACATATTAAAGGATGATTAATATGTTTTTTGAAGACCTGCTAGGCCGAACGATGGAAGCTTACATTGATGATATGCTGGTGAAGAGTCGAGACCGAGCGGACCACACTCAGGATCTCCGACAGTGCTTTCAAATTATGCGGAAGTACCAGCTACGCTTGAACCCCAACAAGTGCACGTTTGCTGTGCAAACGAGAAAATTCCTCGGCTATATGATGACGAAGAGAGGAATTGAGCCCAACCCCGCCGAGGTCAAAGTCATTCTTGATATGCAACCACCCACGACCGTTCGGGAGGTATAGCAATTGACCGGGAGGTTGGCGGCCCTGAGCCGTTTTCTTTCAAAGTTGGTCGAGCGCGCTTTACCGTTCTTTAAAGTATTGCGTAAAGTCAATGGGTTCGTATGGGAAGAGGAGTGTCGAGCGGCTTTTGATGAGCTCAAAGAGTATCTGATGTCACCGATCATTTTGACAAAGCCCGAGCTCGGGGAAGAGCTAGACGTTTATTTGGCCGTTTCCGATCGAGCTGTAAGTGCGGTGTTATGCCGAACAGATTCGGAGGGGGTGCAGCAACCGGTTTACTATGTGAGCCATGCGCTCCATGGTCCCGAGCTCCGGTACTCCCGGCTGGAAAAGATAGTCTACGCTCTGTACACGACAGCAAAGAAATTGGCCCCTTATTTTTAGGGTCGAGCAATCCATGTGTTAACTGATCAACCATCGGGGCAGTTCTCCGCACCGCTTCTTCCTCCAGCGGCCTGGTCAAATGGGCACTAATGTTGACACAATATGCAATTGAGTACCGACCGAGACCAGCTATCAAGGGCCAAGCTTTGGCGGATTTCTTGATCGAGTGCACCACTCGGGAGACACGACCTCCGGAGGTCGAAGATCCTGAGGCTGCGTGGTGGTTGTTGGCCACCGACGGGTCAAGTAGCAAGAAAGGGGTCGGTGGAGGAGTTGTGATAACGAGCCAGGAGAGTTTCAAAGTATATTATGCCTTGATGTATCAATTCAACCCGACCAACAATGAAGCCGAGTATGAAGCGTTTATTAATGGCTTGCAATGTGCTCGGGAACTGGGGGCTGAATACATCCAGGCTCAAACCGACTCTGCGTTAGTCGTCGGGCAGGTATTGGGTGATTATGAAGTTAACAGAGAACGGTTACAAGCCTACCGAGATCTCGCCATGGAGAAGCTTTCTTTGTTTAGGGCGTATACCGTTCTTCACGTTCCCCGACTAGATAATGTCGATGCAGACATCTTACCCAAGTTGGCACAAGATGCTCCTGAACACATGTCGAAGATCGCTCGGATTTTGATGATTCCGAGACATAGTATTCACCGTTTACCAGTCGCACCTATCCAACCGGCCGAAGAAACTTGGATTTCTGATCTAATGGAGTACCTTCAACACGTCGGTTACCGGACGACACTCAGCGGGCCCGGAAGGCGAAGTTAAGTGCACCAAGATTTCAGGTTCAAGATGGTCGTTTATATAGACGGTCATATGGAGGTCCGTTGATGCGATGTTTGACTGCCTTTGAAAGCGGACTTAGTGATGAACAAATTGCATTCGGGTATCTGTTCGTCGCACCAAGGGGGCCGGTCACTTGCCCGACGCATCATGGTGATCGTATACTATTGGCCGTCTATTCAGTTGGATTGCGAAAAGCTTGCCAGAGGGTGTGAGACATGTCAGTTATACGCCCGGATGCCTGGACGACCGGCAACATTCTATCAGTCGGTCACAACCGCGATTCTGTTTGCTCGTTGGGGGTGGACATCTTGGGACCCTTTCTGCAGCTATCCGGTCGAAGGCGCTTTGTCATCGTGGCGATTGATTATTTCTCCAAGCGGATCGAGGCCGAGCCTTTAGCCACGATCACTTCTCAACAATGCGCTCGGTTTCTATGGAGGAATGTTATTTCCCATTTTGGCGTGCCCGTTCATCTGATCAGTGACAATGGTCGGCAGTTCATAAGCTAATATTTTCAAAATTTCTTAGCAACGATCGGGACAACCCCAATTCGATAGTCGGTGGCCTACCCGCAAGGCAATGGACAAGTCGAGAATGCCAACCGGACTATCTTGGAGGGCTTGAAGAAGAAGTTGCACTCAGCCAGTCGTAGTTGGGCTGATGAGCTCCCGTACGTGCTTTGGACATATCGCACGACCCTGAGAGAGGCAACGCTAGAAACACCGTTTGCTTTAGTTTATGGAGCTGAAGCACGGTTACCGGTCGAAGCATGGATCTCGACCGCCAGGGAGCAATCTTACAACGTGGAAGAGAATAAACACTCCATGGTCGTGGACCTAGACGGTGTTGAAGAGAAAAGAGAGATCGCGGCTCGGCGCATGGCTGAGTACCAAAAGAGAGTCAAAAGCACAAAGGACGTCCGGGTCAATCCCCGCTATTTTCAAGTTGGAGACTACGTATTACGACGTCGAGAGGCAAGCCAACCATTAGAAGGAGGCAAACTAGCCCAAAATTGGGAAGGCCCCTATGTCATTACAGCCGTTGTTCGCCCGGGCACTTACCGGTTGGAGACAACAACCGGGAGAGTAATTGAGGGTACATGGAACTCGGAAAATCTTGTCCTATTTAGACATTGATGTGATCATGTAGTTGTAGATGGAGTGGGGGCTCAACCTGCGAGTGGGCACGTTCATCGTTAATCGCCTTTGCAAAACTTGTAAATATTTTACCGTCTACGTACGGGAACAACTAATGTATCACCGATCAGTGATTGCTCGACCGTTTGTATACGGCGGCCCGATCGATTTGTGCTTCATTTAAATCTTAAGCAGTTTAGTATGATCTACTTCGGAAGTTGATTTTGCTCGTGCTTCGTTCGACCGAGACTCAGCATCAACGATCGAAGAGGGGCATAAGCCCCACGACCACAATGTCGCTTAAACTTGCCCGAATATACCGGGGTCTAATCTCAGTTATAACTGATAAAGGTACACACCTCTCCCTCGGTCCCGACCGATAAGGGTATAAACCTAAATTGGCTTTTAAAAGTCACTTACATTTCAGCCGGACAATTAACAACGCCCAGCTTACAACGCTCATCTTCGGCGGACAATCCGGTCACGCCATCGATCGGGAAAATTAGAGCTTCAAAATATATACCCGATCAGCATCACTTCTTTCCACTGTTGCACTCACCCGTGCCTCATGAGTACGGCAGTGTGGGGGCTAGGGTGAAGGGAAGAAAGGCCAAGAGGTCGGGCAAACGCCTGGACAAAAATGCCAACAGGTCAGAAGAAGGCCAGTTGGCCAATAGGTCGGGCAAAGAACGACCAAGAAATGTTAAGGCCAAGAGGTCGGGCAAACGCCCGGACGAAAAGACCAACAGGTCAGAAGAAGGCCAGCAGGCCAATAGGTCGGGCAAAGAACGACCAAGAAATGATCGATTAACATCGCAAAAATCGAGCAAAAATGAAGTTTGACAAAAAGTTAATATATTTAATAAATAAAAGTGCCCGGCACAAAACAGGACCGGGCTCCCGATGAAGTACACTTCATAAAAACGCAAAAAAGAAATTATTACATGGTCGGTAACTACACGACCTTAACTACATTCTTCGCAGCGCCGCTGGGCTTGGCCGTGTCCTCGGAGGCAGACGGGTCGGTGAAAGGCGCCGGGCCGGGATCGGGAACCTCGTCGGGAAGGGTCGACAGAACAGACTTCAAGTTATCGCCATCGAAAACCTCTTCCATAATGGATCGGGTTTCCTCTCGCATAGTCCGTTGGCCGGACTTGAAGGCTCAGTGCCCGAACATCCAAATCATGTCCTCCCCGAGCTTGTTCTTCATCAGCTCTTTGAAGAACTTTTCAGTTGAGGCCTCGTCTCGACAAAGGAATCGAGCCAGGCCTTCAAGGTTTCCCAGTCGGGGCTTGAGCTCACCCGCTTCTGCCAATGCTTCCCGAGCGGCTTTCTCGGCAATGGAAAGAGCATCCTCGTTCGACTTCAGTTTGTCGCGGAGCTCAGTATTTTCGTTTCCTCGCCGCTCGGCGATGTCCCTCAGAGCTTCGGCCTCATTGTCCAACAGCGCTCGGCGCTGAAGATGCTGGATCGCTCGGGATAGCTGTAGAAGAAAACACATTAGCTCGAGCGATTACAGTTGTACATAAAAATAAAAAAGTAACGAAATCATACCTCGACAAAATCTTGGCCGCTCTTTCAGCTACCTGCCCGGGCGTGAGCTTGCTGATATCCTCCTTGACCGGCCGGAGATTACCAACCCGGGTGAGGATAGAATCATCGCCCGTGATAGCCCCACTCGGGGGGCTGTTCTGCTTCCGTCGACGCTTCAGTGCGCCGCCATCTTCCGT